CTTTCTACTGGCAGTATCACCTCCTCCACCCCTTTTCCTAGCACATAAATACTGTGACTTAGCTTCACAGATTCACACCTGGTCTCAGAAAGAGTATTCAAGTCCTCACCAAGGAGGAAACGTCAGAGAGCCAATTTCTTGAAATAAAAAAAATCAATGGACCCAATTTTAAATTTTTCCGTGGAAACGTGGGCTCTGCTGACTAGCATCCTGATGCTCCTCTATCTGTGAGTAATGGGCTGGATGCGTCTCCTTTGTGGCCTAGAGTTTGGACGATTCTCAGGTTGCTTTTCCCTTCAGGAAAATCAAAAAATATCATCCAGTGGAAATTAGTACTGTCACAGCTGAACAGATTTCTACTGCAAACTAAACCATTTAACTCACTGTGTTTCTGGCAAATGTTCTAAATGCTTTTCAAGAAATCAATGCTGGGGGCTGGAGAGATGGCTCAGTGGTTAAGAGCATTGCCTGATCTTCCAAAGGTTCTGAGTTCAATTCCCAGCAACCACATGGTGGTTCACAACCATCTGTAATGAGGTCTGGTGCCCTCATCTGGCCTGCAGACATATACACAGACAGAATATTGTATACATAATAAATAAATATTTCTAAAATTTTTTAAAAAGAAATTAATGCTGTAAAAAATCAGAAGAAAGTTTAAAGTGGTTACAGTAAGCTGTTTCTCTTGGTTTGTTTTTTGCCTTTACTCTTGTCATGTCTTCATCAGTCTGCAATAGGAAGTTTTGAGGGACCTAGAACTCCCAAGGATGGAAACTACATTTGAGTTGCAAATGATTACTTGACTCAGGTCTGCCTTCCCAAAAAGTTTTGTAACAGAGATTGTTGTGTTACCCACATAGTTGATAAATAAATACCTTATGACTTATTATCCTATTTCAGTAAGCTAAATGGTGATGTCTATGGTCTAGAAAGAAATAGGCATAGAAATTGTATTTCATGTAGGCCATCATCTCATGAGTTCATGTGGGTAATACATGGTGAAATTTCACTTTTCTGGGAAGTCAGGAGCAAATACCTTCTGATCTAAGTAGGTCAAGTACAATTGACACATCAAAGTAGCTCTTCCTACAGAATACCCCTTGGAGACACAAATATTTATGAGGTTATCACAGGAGTTTATTTAAAATGTTACTCGAAGGACCATGAATGACTCAAAGGCAACCACAGCATCAAACCCCCACACCTGAGCAGATGAAGATTCAAAAAACCTGTATCATTAAAATATGTATTTATTTATTTTTTTTAAAAAATATGTATTTATTTTTAATTCTGTGCATGTAAATGTTTTGCATGCCTGTATGTATATGTATCACATGCCTATCTGATGCATGTTTAAATTACGAGAACTGCACTGGATTTCCAGTTATTTGGGTGCTGGGAACTGAACTTGTATACCCTGCAAGAGAAGCCAATGCTGTTAAGTTGCTGAGCCACCTCTCTAGCCCAAAGGATATACATGGGAAACTGCACAATTTTCAAGCTGAGGGATGGGCAATTTGAGAGTCTTGTCAGGAGGCTCTGATGGTGGGCTAACTTCCTGCTCTGAGCAACCTCACTGTTCACTGTTCATGAGGTGAACTTTCTTGCAGATTACCCAAGTTGCTGATGTCTGATTATTTATTATCTCTGGTGAGCTCCTTTCTAACTCAAGGTTAGAAAGTGTTACTACATATTAAATCCTTGGACCATTAAGTATTAAAAGAATAGTTTAAAATAAAAAGGTAGGTAGGAGTAATTAATGCTCTCAGTTTTTATGTTATATTCTGCCAACCTGTACCACACTGAATAACTTCTTGTAGTTGTCAATATTTGTATCCAAGAATGTATATGTACATATATATGTATTTATACTCAATAGTATACATGTATATGTATGAATACATACAAAAATATGTATTTATATACGTATGTGCATATGCATCTTAGTTAAGGTTTCTGTGTGCTGTGAAGAGACACAAGATCTAGCTTTCTGGGAAATATGGAAGTAAATACCCTAGATCTCAGTAGGACACAATTAACAGATCAAAGTACAGGGAGCAAATACCATTTTATATTAGTAGAACTTGATTGACAGATCAATGTAGCCCTTTCTCCAAAGTTCCCCTTGGAGAGACATGAGTTATCAATTTCTCACAGGAGTTTGTTTGAAAGATTACTTGCAGGTACATGAATAATTCAAAGGCAACTGCAGCACCAAATCCTCATAACTGAACAGACCATGACTGGAAAAAATCTTTAAATATATATTTATTATTAATTTTGTTAATATGAATGTTTTACATATATGTTTGTATGTGTATAACAACTACCTGATGCCTATTTAAGTTAAGGAAAATGTTTTGAATTCCCAGGAACTAGAATTGTAGACTATTGTGAGCAGTCATTTGAGAGCTGGGAACAGAACCTAAATATCATGCAAGAGCAGCAACTGCTGTTAGTTGTTGAGCCAGCTCTCCAGCCCAAAGGCTGCACATGGGAACTTCTGCACACTTTTAAACCTGAGAGATAGGCTAGGTGAGAGAGTCTTGTCAGGAGGCTCTGCTTGGGGGCTAACCTCCTCCTATGAGCAAGAACACCCTTCACTATTCTGTGGGCATCAAGTAGAACTTCCACCGCACATTATCCATATTGCTGACACTTGCTTATTTATTAACTCTGGTGAGCCCCTTACCAATATTCAAATTCAAGATTAGAAAGTGTTGTTGCATATTAACTCAAGGACTAGGACCATCAAACATTAACATAAAAGTTTATGCTAAAATGGAAGGTGGATGGAATTAATGCTCTGTGTTCTTTTATGTTATATTCTGTCCTCCTGGTATCACACTGGATAAATTTTTGTAGTTGTCAATATTTGTATCCAAGAATGAGTTTGTACATATACACACCCATACACTCATATATACACACGGATCAATAGTATAGATGAATGTGAGTAATTACCTATGCGAGTATGTATTTATATATGTATTTGCATGTGTGTCTTAGTTAAGGTTTCTGTTGCTGTGAAAAAACACCTTGACCACAGTTATCATTTGCATAATAGATCATGCAAATAATCGTTGATCTCAGTAGGAAAAATCAATAAATCAATGTATCCCATTTTCCAAAGCACGCTTGAGGAGACATGAGTTTATCAAGTTATCACAGTAGTTTGGGTGAAAGTTTACATGCAGTAGCGTGATTGACTCAAAAGCAACCACAATATCAAACATCTACACCTGAACCGATAACTCACAAAACATTGTAGTGATGAGGTGAGCAGGTCTGCTTTTCATCCTGCCCGGCTCCCGCATGGCTAGCTTAGCCCCGGAAATAACAACACCACAAACTGTATTTATTTAAACACTGCCTGGCCCATTATATCTAGCCTCTTATTAACTAACTGTCATATCTTCCTTTAACCCATATCTAGTAATCTGTGTATCACCACAGGGTAGTGGCTTACCAGGAAGATTCTAACCCACGTCCATCTCGGGCCAGAGCTTCATGGTGGTTGTCTGACTCTGCCTTTTTTCCCCCAGCATTCTGTTCTGTCTTCCCCACCTACCTATGTTCTGACCTATGAGACCAAGAAGTTTTCTTTATCAATTAACCAATGAAACAACAGATAGATAGAAGATCCCCCTACATCAAAACCTGTATCTTTAAAATATATATTTATTCTTAATTTTGTGCATATGAATGTTTTTCATGCTTGTATGTATGTGTACTGCATGCATGCCTGTTAGCTTACATTAGTTAATGAAAGGCATTGAATTTCCAGAGAGTGGAAGTGTAGACCATTGTGAGTAGTTATTTGGGTGCTGGGAACTGAGCCTGCATGCCTTGCAAGAGCAGCCAGTGCTGTTAGATGCTGAGCCACCTCTCTAGCCCAAAGGCTATACATGGGAACCTCTGTACAATTTTCAAGCTGAGGGATGGATCATGTGAAAGTCTTGTCAGCATACTCTGCTGGGGGGCTATCATTTCCCTTTGAGCAACGTTACTGTTCACTGTTCAGGAGAGACCATGTAGAGCTTGCAATGCAGGTTACACACATTGCCGGTTTTTGCTTGTTTTCTATCTGGTGAGCCTCTCAGTAACATTCAATCCTAAGGTTAGAGATTATTATTACATATAACTCTAGGACTGGGATCATGAAGTATTAACATAAAAGTTTATAATAAAATTGTATGTGAAGGAGATTATGACACTTAATTTTTGTGTAAAATTCTGCCCACCTCCTCCCTCACTGGATAAATTCTTGTAGTTCTCAATATATGTGTCCAAGAAAATATATATGTATATAAACACACATACATATACACACACGTGTGAATATATTTACATATGTATATATTATATATTGACTCAGTAATACACATGTATTAGGAGTACATGAGTAACTACATATGTGAATTTGTATTTATACTTGTATTTATATTTGTGTTAGTTAAAGTTGTTATTGCTGTGATGAGACACCATGGCCACAGCAACTCTTATAAAGAGAAACCTTCAGCTAGTGTGTTTCACTTACAATTTAGAATTATAGTCCATTATTGTCATGGCGGGAAGCAAGTCAGAATGTAGGCAGACATGGAGCTAGAGCTGAGCATCCTTTCATTTTCTCCCAAAGACAACTGGAAGTGAGTTGTCTCAGTGGAGGTGGCTTGAGCATATATGAGACTGCCTGGCTCTTCTCTACAATGACACACTTCCTCTATCAAGACCATACCTATTTCAACAAGGACATGTTTCCTAATAGTTCAGTCCCTTTGTTGGCCATTTTCTTTGAAACCACCACAATGTACGATATGTATGTTCATATTTGTGCATGTGTAGATATGTATATTTATGTACATGTGTATATGTGAATGTGTCAATTTATGTATGTGAATATGGAAATATATATTCATTCACTGTGTGTATGTGTGAATGTGTATATTTACATGTACTACCAAGAAGCCTATAACTTGGTTTTCTTCTTTATGTCTTAGTTATGGGACCTCTTCACATGGACTTTTTAAGAAGATAGGAATTCCTGGCCCCAAACCTCTCCCTTTTGTTGGGACGCTACTTGACTACAGGAAGGTGAGTGATGTTGGGATTTTTCATTTACTTACTGTGACTGTGTCATTTTCATGAGTGTCCAGAAACCCTGTGTCACTTCATCAGTGCAACTGGCCATTGGTATGAAATACTAAGTGTTATTCTTAAAAAACGATTAGAGAGCTGCTGCAAACGGTCCCCAGGCGGGCTGGCGGAGGGAGCCCGCCATGAGGGCGGCTACAGGAGGGCACGCTTCCTTGGCCCACGGTGGCGGCAGGTAACAGACACGTAAACACAGGAAATAGCCATAAGTATTTATTAAGGAAGGGGGAGAAAGAAAGACAGAGAAAAGAGATAAAAGGAGAGAGGAGAGATAAAAGAAGAGAGAGACAGAGAAAACGCGTGCGCACGCCAAGGAAGCAGAGAGAGAGAGAGAGGTCCCAAGATGGCGATGGGCGGGTCAGAGGTTATGGGAGTGGGCGTGGCTAGGGCAGGGACCCAAGAATATCATTCCCACATCTTGCTTTTGATAAAAAGCAAATTAGACACTTCAGTTTGAAGGAATTGGGGCGGCGAATTCTCAAGACTGCTTCCGGCTGATTGTGGGCGTCGTCTTGGGGGGGGGTGCGAGAGAAGGCTGGGGTGCTGGGAACATCCTGGCATAGCTGGTCTCTTTGCTTCTGACCGATGTCTGTGGCATGGGAATGTCTGGAGTCCCTAAGTTATTGGCAGAACAAAGAACAAAGTCAAATTAAGGTTAAAAGGAAAAAATTTTAGGACCAGGGAATTGAGGGGGTATCTGACCTGTTTAAGATGGATTTCTTGATTTGGCTCCCTGGAACTCATGAGAACTCCTTGGGTTTGTGAAAACAGAAGTTTTAGACATATAATGACTGTAGCATAAGAGATAAATTTGGTTTGAAATTTGGTGAGGTCACCTTGTAAAACCTCAACCTGGCGAAACCTCTCAGCTGTCAGACTGTCAGAGATCTTTGAGAAGGATAAGATTTTACTTGAGTAACTGATTAAAAAATGACAGAGAACTTACTTGGTTGGCACCCAGAGCTACTCTTTTTTGGGTCCTCCATGGTCGCTGAAGGTTGCACTTGAGCTTTGCTGTTTAGCGCAGGGCCTGCCAGGCTCCAGAAGATCCTGTGGGCTAAGAAATCTGTAGGAAGACAGGCCTACCTTGACCTGAGCAGCTAGGCTGTCGATTCCGGTGATTCCGTCCACGTCTAGAGATCTTTAGTTTAGATGAAAGGCAGGTTTTCCCAATGGTCAGCGCTCTGCAGTCGAAGCGAGATGCAGAAGGACGTTGTTCTGCGCGTGACTGTCTTCTTTGGAGGGAGCAGAAAGCTGCTGCTAGGAGCCAACCTGTCTCTTTTGTCGTTGTTAAAAGTTATTTTAATAATTAAACACTTAAATATCACATTCCCCAGATCTCTGAGCAGTTGAGGGCTGTTTATCAGGTATAACTATAGTATAGAATTTGTTTGGAAAGTTGGGTCTGAGCTTGACCAAATTGGCTCTTAACAGGTAAGATTTACATTTGTAAAAAGATAGAGGGAAAAACTGCTTGAAATATAAGGTTAGCGGCAAAACTGACAATGGTAAAGAACAGCTTAAGAGACTTAAAGGTACATACCAGTTTAAAATACAAGACTCATGTTTTGTAGTCTGAAATAAGATGTAATAAACAGTTATACATAGAGAGAGTGAACAAGAATTGGGCAACGTGGATGCCTCTGATGGGCCCTATCAAAGGCATTTGACCATTGCTCAAAACACATTTAACAGAGTTAGCATAAGGAGTTTGGTGAAAACCTGGTGAGAAGGCAGGGTAAAACCGGGAGAGTGTGGTCACATGACCTGGCTCTCAGCCAAGATGGCGGCGAAAAGGTCACCTGACCCATCTGGCCTTCAGTCAAGATGGCGACCGCCATGTGTAGTCTGCTCAGTTGGAAAGCCCGCCAAGCCACAACAAAAGCCGCAGACTGGAGGGGCAAAAGGCTGGAACCGAAAAACGGCCATGTATAGTTTAATGGGGCCATTTTGGACAAAAACTGATAAGTGTGAGGCATTAAAAGATGAGGCCAGAGTAATAGGTCTGGATGGATTGGCTCCCGTGGTCAAGGCCGTGCAAACACCCGCAAAAACCGTGGCACCTCAAGCCTACAACGAGAACGGCTCCCCGTTAAGGCGAGATGCAGATGGCACGAACATCCACTGGCCCTATGGAATGGCGTCCGATTCCATGGGGGGGATGTTATAACCTGGCTGAATTGACTCGAGCCTCTGAATGGGAGAGCGATTCCCGGGCAGGAGGGATTCAGCCAAGGTCAGGCCGCACCGTAGTGGCGTGCTGCACCAAGCAGCGTGCTGCACTGTAGCAGCAGTTACGACGAAAGAAGGAAGGAAGAGAAAAGCAAGGAAAAAAAGAAAAAGAGAGAACTGGAGACCCCGGGCCTCAAGGCGCGGGTGAGCTGAGGCTTAACACAGGAGACAAGCCAAATTGAATGCCAGCGAAGGGAACCAAGGCCCTGAAGGCCCGCTGTTGGAGGTTCCCCCATCCCTAAAAACCGTGAAGGGTTGCCGGGAGCTCAACGGTCAAACCCTTGAGTTAGAAGAGATGGTTAAGCTGGCCGAGATGGGGACACTCACGATTAGTTGATCTGTTGTTTGGAGGAGCTGCATCCAGGGAACACGTGGGTCGTAGGCCGGCGAAGTGGAAAAGAACCCGGTTCGGGAGTCACGTGGCACCAATGTTATTCTTAAAAAACGATTAGAGAGCTGCTGCAAACGGTCCCCAGGCGGGCTGGCGGAGGGAGCCCGCCATGAGGGCGGCTACAGGAGAGCACGCTTCCTTGGCCCATGGTGGCGGCAGGTAACAGACACGTAAACACAGGAAATAGCCATAAGTATTTATTAAGGAAGGGGGAGAAAGAAAGACAGAGAAAAGAGATAAAAGGAGAGAGGAGAGATAAAAGAAGAGAGAAAGAGAGAAAACGCGTGTGCACGCTAAGGAAGCAGAAAGAGAGAGTGAGTCCCAAGATGGCGATGGGCGGGTCAGAGGTTATGGGAGTGGGCGTGGCTAGGGCAGGGACCCAAGAATATCACTAAGGTTTCCAGCTTTCAGAATTGTTTGTGTCACAAGAGCATCATTGTGAGGTTACCCTGCTGGTGTCGTTTGACAAATGTCTGAGACCTCAGGTTGCATCATATGAGAACCCACAGTGTTTGCATAACCTGATTTAAAAACCTGATGTATAGGCTTTGGAAGCCTCAAATATTAAGGTTTTTTTTTTCAGTACAACTTCCAAAAAAAAGTAAAGTCATGCTAACTCAGTATTTAAAGAAACACATGTCATGACTTCTACATGGCATGTCACTAAATTGAGTGCTTCATTCATGTCAGAGTTGACTGTAACTTTGGCCCTTCTTGTTGAATAACTCTGGCACATGCTGATCAGGAGGCACACAGTTATTTTGTGGTATATGCACATAAATGAATACTCAATAATACCAAAAAATTCCCTGATATCATTTCCCAGGCTCTTGATACCAATGATTTCGTGTGTGTGTGTGGAGGGTTATATTAAGAGGTCACACAAGAATATTCTCCTTTTCACTTCAAAGTAGAACCTATTTATAATTCTTAGGAGGAGGAATATAAGAGATGTTGTCTTTCAACCTAAGATATTTAGCCAGATTATGAGTTTTGTTTCTTTAAACAAATGCAGAATCATTTATACATAATCACTAAAGAAAGCATGATTTGGCAAATTTGTTAAAACAAATTTTAGTAAGTAGATTATAATATATGCAAATGCATGCATATATAGTCATCATTAATACATAACAAACTGGAGTATGAATTTCCACAGAGCCTCTTGAATGCTTTCTTTCTAAAATGTTAGGCTTCTGCACTGTCATTCCTAAGCTCATGCCCAGAAGACCAAAATCAGTTCCTTCACGCAGACTGTACTCTTGTGATGGAGGTGGGTCTTGTATCTTATCTGTTGATTTCATTGGTTAATAATAAAGAAACTGCCTCGGCCCTCATAGGACAGAAAATTAGGTAGGCGGAGTAGACAGAGGAGAATGCTGGGGAAAAGAAGCTGAGTGAGTGAGTCGCCATGTTTCTCCTGCTCCAGACAGACGCAGGTTAAGATCCTCCCTGGTAAGCCAGCTCGTGGGCTACATAGAATATTAGAAATGGGTTAGAACAATATGTAAGAGCTAGCCAATAAGAAACTGGAACTTGTGGGCCAGGCAGTGTTTGAA